CCAAGGGGTGGTTTGCATATGTGGTGACTTGGTCTTTGAGGTGGAATGTGACAGAACTCGATTGGAATTTGCAACCTATTGCCCTTCACGAGCGTATCAAAGAGGAATTTTCTCAACATTATTTGGAGCAAGACGATGCACTAGAATGGAGTTTTATCAACTTCATGTGAATCCTATGCTTGTTTATTGTGAGCAAGGATACTTACTTGTGGAGATCTCTACTTCTTTACGCCATATTATTGCTAGGCATAAAATAGGATCTCATAGTCTTGGAATTGAAGAAGGGCGTTGGTTGAACATTGATAAGAGTGAACGTATTTGTAGGCTATGTGATGTGAGGAAAGTTGAGGATGAAGAGCATGAATTTCTTACTTGTACTAGATATGTTGAGATTAAAGTGTCTCATAAAGTTGTTGTTGACAATTTTTATTCTTTGATTCAGCTTGAGCCTTATGATTTAGATTGTTACATTAGAGATGTTATTAGTTATCGTTCTAGTGCTTTGGGCACTAGCTAGGGGGTTCTTTTAGTTCTCTCCAAGGTTACAATTGGATCATTCGTATTGTGTTTTTCAGACTATTGACCCTTTGGGTACCACGGGCTTGATCTATTTACCATTACCATATATGGTAAAGTGTTGATTAAATACTATTATCATGATACTTCTACCGTATATGGCAACTGAAATGAAGCCATGATTTAAGTTTTAAAATGAAAAGATCTTATAAATAAATCGTTTAGAAGTTATCATATAAATGAATCTTTTTCAAAAGATGTCAATTGTTGTTATATTTTTTGGCTATTTCCCAAAACTACTAGCACGTTTGACTCTAGAGTAAGTATTATTGAGTTTTAAGAAACAAAATCATGTTCTAAGACAAATCAATCATGACTGACTTGTATTACATGTCTAGATGACATCTCGACGGGCACTGCCACTTACATGTCTTACGTGTGTTGTGAGATTCTTGAGAACAGTGCAGAGACGATTATTAGTCTGAAGATCGGACTGCAACGGCTCCCATAGTCTTTGGTTCAAGTCTGACAAGCAAGCTGCAATTCCTGTTGACTCAGGTTTGAACAGTACTGTACTCAGGAAGTCCTAGATATCTCCGTTCTTGCTTCTCAGGTAGGGTAGCCTCTCTCTCTATTAGTCTCATTGTTCTATTTTTCTTACCGAAATTGGAAATTTGAACCTGCTCCACCATTTGCCGGATGGTGGGTGAAAAGAGATATTGGCTTTTCCATCGGCTACCATACTGCTCTTGATCATGTTCTTAAATATTTTTGTCATGAATTATTCAACATTTTTTTAAATCAGCCAATCCTCACAAAATGATGAAGATTCATCACTTTAATACCAAGTATGCTTAAGTATGTTTTAAGTATTCTTAGAATCTTACATTTAATAATTTTATTATCTTAAATGAGCAGAATGCAAGTTTATATGATTTTTATGCTATTTTTCAAATGGATCTATAATATAATCTAATAAAATGACCTTGTGTAATATACCAAAACACTTAATTTTATCTGATATATTTATTTCAATTTTTAGATTAAATATTGGATTGATCATGTGAATGCATCATTCATTCATTCAACAAGAAAGATTTGGCAAATCAATAAATGAAATGATTAAAAAATGTAATATGTTGATCATTAAAACATATTTAGTTTTAGATTTAAAGTAAGAATATTGGAAAATTATTATATTATAATAGTCAGAAGTATGTAAAAAAAGTCCGCAAAAATTCACCTAACAATTAATAACTTTAGAATGAAATATTTTTTTAAATAATACGTGTTAGATAAATTCCAAAAATTGTCTTATAAAAATCAAAGCTTTTTAAAATTAATTTAACGGATTGATTGGTTTTTGAACTCAACATCACAATACATAAAAGTCGATTGACTGTCCTTTTAATAGCATCAAGAAACTAAGCAAGAGCCAGTTTTTGAGAAGCAAGAAGTTCCTTCGTACCTTCATCCAGACGATGTAGTAAGAGGGAAAATCTATGTACGCTCTTCTCCTTTGTAGAAGGATAGTCTACTGAAAATTCAGCTTCCTTATATTTCTTTCCTATCGTTCCACCTACCATCTGAATCTACATGTCCCTCCCGCAGCTTCTCAGAAAACCTGTGCAGCATTGCATGGTCCACATCCTTCGTTCTACAAGTGCTGGTTCGTTCACTTATTTAAACCAGATCGGAACGTCAAGACGCAGCGGCAGTAAAGCTGAGCGGTTAAAGCAAGCAACTCATAGTAGCAAAATAGATCACGCACGGGCTTTCACAATCTGTTTTGCAGCTCGGTCGCTCCCCTGTCGTTGTCGTTGTCGACGACGCTCTTCCCCGAGCTCATGAAGAAGCATGAAAAGAATCGCCCTGCACGAAGATTTTCAATTTTAATGGTTGAATCGAACCCAATTGCTACTAGGGCATTGGCCTCGCAAGTGTACATAATGTCTTTTCATGTGCAGGTTTGCCAATTGCTTTCCTTTCTCTCCTATATCAATTATCATGGGATATTCGATCGGTCAGACCTCAAATGCATACACACATCAAAAACATACCACGAGAACAAAACGCACACACCCCATCGACACTGGAAATGCACGCTTCAGGTTAGTTCATAAGAACACCATTCATTCACATAAAATTGTTTCGTGAACTCATTTATATCGTGAGAAAATAGTTAAATTAAGTAATTGAGGTTAAACTAACATGAGTTAAATCAAAACGTGAGTTAACTCATGATTATATTGAATATATGTGAAATCAATATATTATGAATCATAAAATTTATCAAACTTATGTGACAGAAATTCTAGTTAGATAGTTCTATCTATATGTGAGCAAATAAAGGAACCAGAGTCATATTATCACTCTTCACATAAAATGTACGGTCAAGATCATTCAAGTTATGATCGGACTCCTTATTAATTTAAAAAGTATGTAGAATTAATCTTCGAAGCTAAAAATTTTCGATTGATTTTAGCAAGTCAGGAAAATATTAATATTAAGTTCTTGAAACTCGTAGTCTCAATTACAAATTTGGTTTTTTTGTTTTTATGAACAATTCGAGAGGAGATTCGATTTAGTTCGCAACTCAGATTCAGATATATTGTAAAAATTACCCAATTAACCAATGGTTTAAGTGATTTTGATAGTTTGCATCAACAACATTGATTTGAATTCGGAACTTCTTTTGTTTCAGTAAAAAATATGACATACTACAAACTATGATATGGTTTATCTCTACTCTGAATTTAGTTGTAATTTGATTTAACATTGTTGTTTGTATTTTTCGTAGTTGGTGTATTTTCAAATTGATAACACCCATGTTCTATATCTACACAAAGTATTCATATCTTGTGAATGAAGTGAGTAAATACATGGTATCCGAGGTGCCATACACCAATTAAGGAATGTATATTACGATACTTAATGTGACAATCATCTAGTTGGTGATATGACATGTATGTAGATAACCACTTGTTCAATTTATAAATACTCTAGACCAAGTAGATAGAGAAAAAAGCCCGAAGTCTCTATTAAGCGTAAATAATTGTAATGGACAAATAGGGGCTAGATGACTAGTCAGGTGGATGTGCGCAAGAAAGAAAGTTGATGCTACTTGACGTAAGGGATTATGGTGACATCAGGAAACCGGGTCTCAAGGGCTTGAATAGAGTTTCAATCAAGGGTACTTTGCAGTTTTCAGAGTAAGTGAAAATCACAGTTTTGTGGGATCTTTGACGTTGAGTAAACCATGTCCATGAGATGCTACCAGCTGGTTAGAGTAGTGTTCTCCGCCATTGGTAACTTCAGACAGAACCAATTCTAGAATGGCTACTAAAATACTCCGAAGATGAGAACCAGGCAGGAACCACAAGTACACGTCTGACGAACAATTCCGTTCCGCCACGACTCGATGTAGCATCTACCGTGCACATGTAGGATATTTATATACTTCATAGTGCAGTACGGAGACTAAACTTGGGGCCATTACAGCAGTTCCCTTGTCAACCGCTTCTATATTCCGTAGCAAACGCGCCGAAAATAGCACTTGACATTCCAAGTCTGGGCCTTTTGATGTTTAATGAAAGAAGCTGAAATTCGAGAAGTCAACACCAGTGAAACTCCCCAATTGTGGTGAGACGGATCTCGAGACATAATGTTAGACTTCCATTGGCCAATGGACGATTGATATTTGGGAATGTGATTTGCGTGGAGGCTGACAGCTGCTTATTCAGAAGTAGAAGCCCCGCAAAGCGTAAATGTCATACAGAATGACATTTACGGTTACATGATGCAGTATGACTCATACTGCATCATGCAAGCCGTTGTCAGTTGTATGTCAGTACGTTGCTGTAATGTCCAGGATGCAAGAGCCCTGAATAGCTGCTTCCAAACTGTCAACCACCCTCTTTAGGAATCCATTGTGGTTATAGGAGCCAGTTGACTGAGGTCTCCAATAATGTATTAAACTGAGAAAAAAACTCAACGAATGACGTGTGTGAAACTTGTGGATGGCTACAAACTTGCCGTGTTTAGTTTAACATGGAGGTGAAACATCCTGTCTCAACTGACTACCACCTTGTAATTCTCCAAATCGACTTCCATGCAAGTCTCGGAAACAAGTCACTTAAGCTTAAGGTAAACTGTCAGTTTTCTACTAACTTGAGTCGGAATAGTGCAAATTCCATGGAAGTTTGGTTTACCACATACTGCAATCTATTTCTACGCAATCTTACGAACTTCAAGGCCTCAGATTAAGTCACAGCGACAAAGAAATGCTTCCAAAGGTCAACCAGATCCGACAATCCAATAAACTAGGATGTTTATCCTTTTCCTATGTGATGGGCGGATTTACTGGTTCTCAGGTACATATTCTAAATAAGGGAGGAGTACAAGTTGAAGCTGATACATATATAAATTCATTCATCCCCGCTCATCGAAAGCACTTCTTCCAAAGGAATACACGCAGTCTGATGATTTGATCCCTCACTCATATCATTGCAGCACACCTACGCTAAGTTCCTCACAATCATGAAGATTAAGACTGCCATCCTCATCTCCTGCTTGGTGATTCTCACCACTGCCACGTTCGTCGCTGCCGCTTCGTACAAACATGAGTGTGTGAACGAGACCGACTATCCTGTTAGTATCTCACTCAAGGCTGCAGTGGGTCTCAAGCTCAGCGTCAGCGGTGTGATCAAAATTGCCGCACACACTGTCTACACTGTCTTGTACACAGTTACCGGCCTGATCAGCTCTGTCCTCGGATTGACATGGAAAATCACCTGCGTGGTCGGAGGCGTGGTGCACAGCATTGATGTCAAAGTACCTTTCAATGCTTCTGTGAAGATCTACGCAACTGTATCCGGAGATATTGCCATTGCTGTCAACGGTGCTTTCAAGGGTTACTTGATGCATTACTGTAAGTATAATGTGCTTAGTTAGTCGCTTGCCATTTGAAGTTATTCTCGCTGTTCAGTTAAGTTCTCTAGACGGCTTTCACTTGTCTAGTGGAGAACCATGTTATGTCTTTGTCTTTGCTAATCGCGCACTTCCGAGCGTGGATCATCTGAATATTTCTCATGTGTGCTCACAATGCAGAGATTCGAAAGTAGTGAAGTTGATGGAATTGTGCAATGTGAAGCCAATTCGGAGGCCGGGTAACAAATAATTTCGTCGGGGCAGGGATGAGTGCGAGCTTGAAATACTTGTCTTTCGGTTACAGTCCAGATAACTATATCACGCGGGGGCTGTCATAGGGTATTTAATGTATTTTAGCTCAGTCGCTGAGTAGAGGTTGCGCGTACGTGCTTCGTAATATGCAATAAAGAAATGGATTTTATTGAGTCACTCGATGTTTCCCTTTGTCTATCAACATGTCTTTGTCCTGATGATTTTCTTTATGAGCTCTGAGCATTGCTGCTTTCCGCTTGCCCTTACGACTGTCTTTAAAGGACCTGCCTCAGCAATATTTGAGCAGTAGAGTAGCCCACCTCAGGTACAACCTGTGGATCGCCCAAAACCACGATAGCTCAAGGCCAAATTCAAGTCATTTTGAAACCTGGACACTCATGTGTGTGGGCTCCGCGGTCCGCCTAGCTAAATGAGTCTAAGTTCAGCGGCTCTACTATCGGATTATGTAGTTATGTTGTTCATCTGGAGCCATCGGTTTGTAATTCAGATTTGTGCAGTCAGCTGCACAGCCCAGAAAGTCGCTGTCCCTAATGGGATCTGGAGCCACGGGTGGAGATCAGGGTCACATGGTTTTACAGAAGTTTTGACCTGTGTATTACACAGTGTGTATGGAAGAAACCGTTTTTTAGATTAGAAGATGTGATGAATTCCTTCCAAATGTCACCTGATCTATTTGACCTCTTTACATCACAGCTTCTTTGCCCATATTCATAGAATGATCGGAGGAGAAAAAGCTGTAATCGCATTCATTGTAGAAGACATCATTCTATTCAAAATACAAGTATTTTTCCTTGTTATTACATTCTTTACTATCCATTGAGCAGTACTACTAAATATTATAGCATATGGTAAAATCATGAAAATCTGATTATATTCTCAACTGAAATAAAGTGTCTAGTTGCTTGCGTTGAACAAAGTATCATCAACTTCATCAATTACTTCACAATTTTAGGCTACAGGATATCAAAAATAATCATCATAGATATTTTCAAAAACTTTGATAATCTTCATTTGATGTTGAAGATGACCAAGATCGAAATCATCATCATCTCTTTTCAATTAAAAATAAATATAACATGCTGTGTAAAATATGTAATGAATCGTATCAAACAAAAATTAGTTTTGAAACAAAAGGTTATTTTTTTCTGATGAAAATGATATAATCCTTTTCACATTCACAAAGAAAAATATATAATCAAAACTTCTGAATAGCAAAGTGGTATTCAGAAGTCTATAAAAAGTAATCTTCTCTAATAAGAACATGTGAGAATAGTAAATTATGAATATTACAGTAACAACTTTACTAAACATTATTCTTCCAAGAACAAAAAAATATTTTGTACATCATATGATAGAATTATTTTTAAGTTGATGTGTGTAATTATTTCATAATATTTAGGTGCTGTGTCTCAAATGCAACACAAAATACTGAACTCAACAGATCTATATAGAACTTGAATACAACAGGTGACTATGTTGTTCATCTAAATATAAATTTTAGACATTCATATTTAGTTGAGACATTACATTAAAAAACACTACAAAATCTGATAATCTAGTGGTTTTCAGATCAATGTTGTTTTATTATAAATTACATCACTTTGTATATTGGTTGTAATTTAAGTTTGAAAACAAGGTGAAGATTATCTTAAATTAAAATCATGACTTGCCTCAGCAATACCAAGTTTGTAAAAACAAAACCCATATATATGTTTCAAAATTTTCATTTTTTCATCATGAGGTGATTCTCTTCCTTTTATAGCAATGGTGGTTAATGACGATCGGAATATAAGATTAACTAACAATGAACATTTGGAAAAAACTATATAATCATTAGCATCTTCAAAAAAAAATCTATTATTATGTTCACACAAATTTTTTTCCTTTTTTATATTGTATATTGTATATTATAAATTTATGTAGTAAAATGATCATCATATATGCAAACGGCTAAAAATATTTTTTGATAGTTTGTGAATCTAAAATATAAATATTTTTGATCATGAGATCATCAAAAATAACATTTAAAATAATATTTTATCAATTACCAAGCTGCTTGTGCTTCAATGATAGAATCACAAAAGCAATAAAAGGAATATCTTATCAAACCAGCAAAAGAGTGATGTTGAAAGTATAGTCAAGAAAAACTTTTGTTCCGAGTTCATTGAAATATGTACATGTAATATTGTTTTCAAGAGATATTTAAAAGTGAATGGAATATGTTGAATTTCAATACAAAGCCTGCTTAGTTCGTAGAACTTGTTTGTATGTACTTGTAAATCATTGTATAGTTGAACAAAACTACATTTATTGTGATATTGAAAGTTTGTAGTTGTTTGAATGCTGAAGACTGATTTGTTTGATAAAATCTTCACTTTCATCCCGTATCATCGACAATGAAATTATTGAAAAGAAAACAACGAATCTGAAAAAGTGCAAAAAAACTTGCACAATTGACTTTTATATCTTACAACTTAACAACACAAAATGTGTATGAAGCATTACTTTTGACACAATGAAAGTAGCCTGCGGTTTTAATTAAAGAAGCAGGTTCATGCACATGTAGAAACAACATTAGAGCCAACTATGAAGTTAGAGGCTGGAAGTTTCTTAAAAGAATGTAGCTTCTATATATATGCTTGGATCAATAGAAAAAGTATCTTAGAAATCTACTCGATGCTTTGAAAATATTCAAAATTCATTAGAATTGGAAAGCAATATCTTGATTTATCTCGTTACTCCAAAATTAGAGAGGATTAAACAAAATATTTAGCATGAACTGTGTATCATTTGTACTCTTAAGAACATGTTGATTTTAGTACCAGTATTTGATTATCCTACTTTCCTGTTATAGAGAGACTTTCGTTCTCACGTTCTAGCGAAAGATCAATGTAGTACGCTTGAAGAAAACCCTACGTGTCATGATAACTCTAATATTCAATGTATGGAACGTTCGCATTGGTGAAAGCTAATATCTAATCGGGCACGGAGATCTGCGCTTAATAAGAGCAGGACATTAAATAACTCCCTTAATTGAAAGGGTACAAATAGCGCTCTATGCCTCCATCGTAATCATCATAATTCAGCTGTTCAGCTGCAGTTCGCCGCAGTGTATTCGTAGTTAGACCATTGTTTATAGTGCTTTCGATCCACATACATGTAGCGCGATTCATTCTTCTAACTGTGAATCATGAATACCAAAAATGTCCTCAATTTTTTTGTTGGGGTTCTCGCCTCTGCGACTGTTGCATATGCCGCTGCTTATCGCTCCGAGGTGCGAAAACAACTCAAACGGTCATGTGCAAATTGACATCCTCCATGAAGTTCTAGGGGTCAAGAGTAGTCTTGGTCTCTTTAAGGTAGTCACAATTAGAGTTTAGAATTGAACGTAGACCGTAGCTAGCTTGCTCGATGGTTTGCTCAACTTCTCGTGGAAAGTCACTGCTACAGTTGATGGAGTCCTCAAGGTAGTGAATGTTGCGGTGCCTGGAAATTACATGGTGAAAATTACAACTGAGAGAGGGAAGCTTTGTGTTCTCGTCGAGAAGGCCACTTAGGTCTGCATCTGAAGTAAGATGCCGTGAACTAATTCATGCTTCAACTTTGTATGATTTGTGTTGCTGATCATGAAAATGTCTAGATTAAGCTCTTGTTAACGAGTTGCCAGAGGATTAGGAGGAAGATCCGCTGACCTGAACTACAGCTAATGTGACGGAATTTGTGGACGTTGTTGAGCTGTTTTTGATCTCGCACGCACAATCTGAGATGGAGCGACAAACAATGACCATGGAAGTGGGGCGACGACAGTGTTGTCATCCTATGATAGAAAATCCGCACGCACATTTGAAATTTGATGAGAAATTTGATTAAAGGCACCCCATCTTCGTGAAGATGTCAAAGCTAATGTTTTAATAGGAGCTGTAGGAAGATTCTACAATGGAACTAAAATTCACAACATGTAGGCTGAAGAGCAAAGAGCATCCCGTCAACTGTCACCTTGATGAATGATTTCATGGAAGGAGTTCTTAAGCTAGCAGTTGCAGCGATTTACTCAATTGCCCTTGGAGGAGGACTGTAGTATGCAGTGGTTTGCCATGCCCGGCAACTTTGAAGACAAAATCTGGGTTTACCAGAGCTTCAGCTTGGCAGAATTCTCTGACTAGGAGGTACTTGAAATTATCGAACCTTGTAGGATTGATAGGATGTTGAAAGTGTTCAGCCACGGACGGTTACGAGTCTAGGCTGGTTAATATTGCTGTACCTGCTGAGCATTTGATTTTGAACTCAAGAAAATAGACTTTGGATATCGCCAACGAGCAAAAATCTTGGCAAAGATCTCTCAAGTTGAGTGATAAACTGGGTTCAGTGGAAGACTGTCTAAAAATTATCTATGAAAAATAAGTTCAACACAAGAAAGAGTTGCAATGTACATCAAATTAAGTATACAGGTATGAAACTTTACTTTGAGGCCTGTAAGGAAGCCGGTTTTTTCCTGATAGACTTAACTACAACTAACTGATATGGGGTACTGGTATGTTCAATAAGATGGAGGAGATTTACGAGCAGGTAATGAAGGCAGGTTGTAAAACCTGATCTGATCATCATCGAGTTTTTCCAAGGTCTCGGCACTGGAGAAGATGGAAGCGACCTCCAGTCATATGCAAGAGAGGATTTGCGATCGACGCCATACTTTCTGACATCATGGTGGAGTTTTATGCTGCCGAGAGACACTTTAATAAGATAAAAAGAATCATGAAGATTGTTGCCAATACTCGAAGCACGTTGTCCACCTCACAAATTTATGGCTTGGCCGTCCAAGCCTATGCTGAGACACGCCGTTTCAAAGAAATGGAACAAAATTTTGACAATATGCAGGCCAGCAAAGACTCTTCACTATTTCCAAGAGATTGGAGTTGGTGGTGAAAGCCTATGATGAGAAGTCCGACTTTGAAGTGCTCGAAAAGACCTTGACCAGTCAAGAGCTTGGAATGAATCTATCATCTGATCACTTTTCACACCTTACTACGCAAGTATGAGAAAAGTCAGAATGTTTGACAAGATGAAAGACGTCTTTGATGATATGAAGAGAGCTAAAGACGTCCAACCGACAACAAAGACCTACCAAGTCCTAGCAGACTCATATGACAACGCTGGTGAATTTTGATGAGTGTTGAGAAAATGCGTATCTCTCCGTCGGACATAATCTGTCCGATCAAAAGACTCCTCAACAAAACCTGTCAAGAAATCGTATAAGCTTTACGGGATGCTAACTAGCAATGAGTAGTTTTTTTTGGATGTGATTCACGTACAATATATTGATTGATTGCATAGATAAAGCAGGCTTAGTGGAGACAGATTGGAAATTATTCACCGAGATGAAGGCAGAAACTTTCAACATATTGTCTTTACTTACAACCTCAGAAAATTTACCATTTACCAAAGCGGGCCAAGTTGTTCAGGCCTGTGAAGTATTTGAGGAGATGAAGCAAAAGATGAAGATGTCATCTCCTTCATAATCTTCATCTCATACGAAACTAATTGTAACTTGAAATTTATCATATTCATAGAATGACAATAATGGCAAACGTTTTGTATCCATAGGTAGATGCAATATACGAATTTATACTTTGAAAGGAAGATAGTATGTTGTTGAAAATGTGACAAAAACGATTATCTCAGAAAGTACGATAGTGTGAATATCTATCATTGGTGATACTTTTTTAGTCAATGTAGGTTATGAGTTTGATCTTGAAGTATAATGAATTTCTCAATAATGAACTTAGATGTAAAAGATATGTTTTATGTAACTCATCTAGTAATTATTGATGATGGATGATTTCTAGATAATATTTAATCTTATCACATTTGTTACATCAATAAGAATTCTGAAATTTGTTCAAATATCAAACGGTTCAATTTATAGGGCGATGATCAATCTTGTTAGTATTGAAAGTATTGTATATGCTAAAATTTAAACGTTTGATAAAGTTCATCTTCCATTGATTGACATCAAATTTAATGTAATATGAAGAAAAAGGTTATCACTACTAAATTGTTATGTTCAAAAGGTTTGGAGTTGAGCTCAAAAAAGGGAATGCTTGAAGTGATGATATTTGATCAGAGTACACAATCACAACAATTTATAGATGCAAGGTCCATTGTCATATGGGATAAAATTAACTTTACTAAATTTTTAATTGACATGTTTTATGTTTGGCATTGTAGGTTATAAAACATGAACGATTTGTGTATTTGACACTCTTTGAGACATAAGTTTGTTACTTGGCATGTATAGAGCTAATTTAGTGTTTTGTGTAATATGTTCCTCTAGACATAGGTAATAGAAAAGATTGTGGTATACCTATCCAAGAAATTAATTAAATTTGTACATAGTGACGTGTGAGGATATTTTTTGAAAGTTTCAATCTCATTGAAATTGTACAGTGTGTTATGTATAATGATCATTTAATTTTTGTGAGTATTCTTTTTCACATAAAATTTTCAGAATTTTATAACTACTAAAAATGGAAACACTAACACAACATGACAAATATACATATGTATAAAAATTATATTTTTGAGTAATTTCAAAATCATTACCAAAAGGAAAAAATTACTTGGCATTTCATCATGATTTGTAATGTGCAAAAATTGTTATATCTAAAAAATTAGATGAAATAATTTGAAAAAATTGTTTAATCGTAAAATCAAAATCACAAACTAAGAGTTATATAAAAGCAAGGTTTGATGAATTCATGAAAGCATAAAGATTTTTACAAAATGTTAATAAGCCATGTATATACATGAAAAAAGTGAATAATAAGATTTTTAATTGCATTATTTTAGTCTTTTGCGTGCAAGACATACTCATCTTGGCAAAGAATGAGTCCAACTTTAACAAATGCAAGAATCAACTAAATTTACATTTAGGATGAAAAATTTAGATAACTTCAACAGTATGTTATTGAAGAATGTTCATAATGATTTGTAAAAAAAAGACTGTGATTGAGTAAGGCAATTGCATTCATACCGTGCTTGATAGGTTTAATAAGGCAGACTCTAAAGAAATATGAATTTTTTTGACATCACATTTCAACAAATTTGCAGCACAATGTCCAATGTATGTCATTGAAAAGAAAAAAAAGTCATAAATTGCTTATGACAAATTTATGAACAACCTCATCTATTTGATGATATGCACAAAATTTGATATTACTTTAGTTTTGAACAAAATGATGAGCATGTCAAATCTAATTAATGTACATTGGAAAGTGATGAAATGAATTTTCAAGTATGTGAGTAGTAATGAAGATCATAGATAATTGTTGAATGACTTATGAATCAATGCAAAATCTTTGCTAGATTAGATTGACGTTGACTGTAAACAAAATTTGAACAAGATAAAGATCTATAACGAGGTATGTGTTTACACATGATGATGGTGCATGCATTTGTTAAAATTTATTCTGCAAAAGTGAGTAGTTTAGTTTACAATGAAAGTTAAATATGTAACAGTTGCTTGAGTAACAAAGTAAGTTATTTTGTGGAATATGCATACTACTAAGAAGTGATTAAAACAAAAAACTGAAATCTTCATTGTGATAGTTAGAGTGCGTTAAATGTTACTACAAATCAAATGATGGACAGTGAAATGAAATGCTTTGACATCAATAACAATTATATGAGAAATGTATTTTTTAAAATATTATGTTATTTTACATTACGCATTAAGTTAGTTAAGCTTGACAATAAATTCAATCCAACTGATACATTAATCAAAATAGATTTTTAGAACTTTGGATTTAGATTTTTTCTAGATCATTTATGTTATTTGATAAATATTCTAAAAAAACACAAGTAAAATTTACTAACAACTTTGTTACATTTATATATTATTTTTCTATCATGTTTTAGTTACAGTTTAATTCTAGGTAATGTCAGTTTAAAACATAATCTAAGTTAAATTTTTTCTTAACATTTACTGCAATATAATTATATTAAATTTCATTCTCATGATATGAATTACAAAGAAGATTGTTAATATAAACTCAGATATTTTGATTCTAGTTAGTATTTAGATTTTTGTCACTTTAAAAGAGAGTTAGCCAAAGTTATCGACAAACACTTTAGGATTTTTATCAGTAAAAACTTTTTTTGAGTTCATGTGTACATAGCGTAGAGGTAAAAAAGTTTTTACTGAGAATTAAGTTTAAGTTTTAACTTTTTTACGCTACTTACACATGAACATGCACTTATGTGTTGTACTCTATTTGTATTCTAGTGGATCTTTCATTGTTCTTGGTTATCCATCTCAACATTAAGTATCTTGTAGAACATTATTTGTATTGGATTCAAAATCTCATTTAGTGTTACATACTTGTCAACATTTGTGAGTATCTATTCCAAAAATTATGTACATTATACAGGTTGAGATTATCTGGTATGATTGAAACCATTAAGACTTTTTTATGGATGAACCTCACGGGAGAAAGGGAAAAAACAATTGTCCGATCATATTGTATCAATTGCGCATCACATTGTTTCAAAATAAGTTTCTCATAATCCCATGTTTGTAGTTTGTTTCACGAATTCATGAGGAATCATTAATCTAGTGGAATACAGTGGCTTCATTGTTACTTTATGTGGAATCATGGAATGATGGTAAAACTCTGCCGAATATCAAGCACTTAGTATGCGAGAGGGCCGAAGGCGCGAAGAGCATAACCAAAAAAATTTTGGTTTTTAAGTTTCTTATGGACCCAAGGGGCGGTTTGTTTTGCCCGACAAAACAAACGAAGGAGAGTGAAGGGCCGAAGGGCTTGAAAACATCTAGAAAATATGTTTCATTGGTTCAGAATGTAGTATTAAGTCTGGACACGATTCTGTACATCAAGTACCTGTAGAACTTGGCACAGCTTATAAGTCAGCTCGTTCTTGTTCCCGGCCATCAAGTTGAAAGCCCTGAGTAGCTTAGCTGATCTTCATAAAGAAGGTTTCATGAAATATTTACGGTCTTATTTTCAGCTCCGCTGAACGTCGTCTTTCCGTCAATACGTCAAGCATACTCTAGAAATCGAATGCACGGCAATCACCGCGTACTTCATCACAGACCTGTCCGCCCAGCTGCCAAATGTTGATAAGAAGGTTGCATGCAACAGCCAAATGGTGCCAAGACACAGAAAGACGCTACGTGGGCATCTCGCGACGCATGCTGTGCATGCTACCACCGCTTTTCTATTTCCGCTGAGATTAGAAGGACTTTCTGTCGGCCGAAGCCCACACAACTTTCAGCGAGAAATTCAAGTCCATTCTAGCCCAACCGTGTCTCAAGCAGCTAGTGTTTCCAGGCGAGTTCTCCGCTACTCAACGACTCCGAGTGCCCGAAACTACGCGCTCAGCGACAACATGGGACAGAATGTGAGCACTCTGTTTCGTGCCAATTTCAATGCTGCCGGCTTCGGATCCAGTCTAACCGCTGATCAGGTTACCGAGGGGATCGACTTATCGCAGCAGACGGCCATTGTAACTGGTACCTCATGACTGACGGGTCATATAAGCTATCTGCAAAATGCCGTCCGCTTTTGAATTGATTACTAGTTACAGATTTGTTAATTTCACATCAAAATTAGTGGCACAGCCCCCATGTTCATGTCACGAAACATGTGTTGTTCACATTTTAGTGAGTGGGAGGATTTCCCTTAAAATTGGAACAATCAACTCTGACAGTTTCAGCACATGAGCTTCTTACCCACTCGCATCGATTTATAATTGAATGATACAGGTGATTTGGTGAAAAGTTCGAATCATCTTGGTGGAAGGACTGAAAATATCTTAATGGCATGAGTCAGTTGACTGGTATTTTGTGCATTGTTGTTTGCAATGCAGGGGCTACATCTGGTCTTGGAAAGGAAACAGCCAGAGTGTTGGCAAAGCGTGGAGCTCATGTCATTTTGGTTGGCCGCAAAATGGACACTGCGGAGCAAGTCAAGAGTGTCATCCTCCGAGAGACACCAAGTGCCCAAGTCGATCTGATGCCCTTGGACCTGTCCAACATGGAGTCTGTTCGCAACTTTGTGAAAGAATTTGAGGCAAAGAACATATCTCTCAATATCCTCGTGTGAGCCACTTCGCGCCTCATGCCTTACTTTCTTCCAGCCTCATTCTGAGATCATGATCATATGATGGACACTTTCGTCCAAAGAAATTGCAGGTGCCCACTGAATTATGCAGTGAATGATCGTTTCCTAGTGCAGAAACAATGCGGGAGTTTTCAACAGGGAATTCCTTTTTTCAGACATGGGTATTGAGCAGATGTTCGCAACTCACGTTGTCGGTAATTCTCCTATTTCTCGTGTAGCTATCATGTAATTTGGTAGTTTGAAAGTTGTTGGGTGTAGAAGCTTAGAACGCAAGGCCGAAGAGTTAAATCAAGATCTCTTCACGACTTCATTTTTACTCGTGGTCTAATCTGTCATTTTGTATTCCCAAGGTGTGTTCATGCTCACGGAGCTGCTTCTGAAGAAGATGAAGCAATCGGCGAAGGAATCGGGCATTGAAGGTCGAGTAGTGATCACAGGGTCTGATGCGCATCGTCTAACTTCTATTTACAGTGACGGGATCAACTTCGAAAGTTTGAAAAAACCTGGAGGGTATGCTTAATTAACATATAGTACAGTATCAACTAGAAAGCAAGATTCCTGCATCGATTTATTCCCGGAATTAGGGACTGTCTTGATAATGTCCTCACAATGCATTGATGATTGGATTTTTTGACTTTGATCTGCATATCACTTCAGAGCTAGTTCCAGCTCTGTGAAGTCTAAGAAGTCCATATGCGATTGCTTTTGGTGTACATATTCAGAAGCTCCAACTTCCACGACAAACTGACGTAACAAGTGTTATTATTGTCCTTCGGATGACGAGTTTGTAGCTATGATCCTCTCAAAGCATACGCACAATCCAAAGTTGGGGCAATTCTTCTTGCAGAGGAATTTGCGAGCCGGTTAACTGTAAGATCTCTCACCTGTGTAACATCAATCAATGGATCATTCCTTTGCTATCAACGTCGGATTACTTCACTATATTTCGGCAACTGATATCCAGTTGTCATCGTAATAGGAGGAGAAGGCTAATGTGACAGCGAATGTTGCCCACCCTGGAACTGTGAGTAGTGAGCTCGGCAGAACTTTCATTGACAAAGCCATCCCTGGGCCGGATGCAGTAACTGGTAAGTGATTCTCGCCCGTCGAACGTTTGTTGAGTATAGTGAGAAAGAACCCCCGAGTTTTTTCTGTCCGAAACTGCAATTCTTATTACGTCTGGATGTCAAGAGATAATGATGGAATTCCTTGTCAAGTAGCAGGAGGCGCTTTCTGTAATAATGATAGTTCATCCTGGCCAAGTGACATTATGCGAGAATAGACGTTTGTGGAAAGCTAACCTGTAATGTGAATTTTTGGTCTCTTGACAGATATTGCGTACAAAGGAATAAAACCAACCCTCAAAACCCCCGAAATGGTAAAGCTCCGTCTACTGTTGCGTTCGGTAACATTGCTTAATCATTGCATCAATCGTTACAATTTGCTTCACTGGTTAGGAGATGTCTCGGTTTAGATGAGGGAAGTTCGACTAGATCAAATCATGAGCTGAAAGAAACCCATTCAAGCGCTCCAGACAAGATGCAAAGATAAGTTAGAAAGTATATAGAATTCAAACTTATATCCCCCATGTGTCTTGAATATGGGGAATACAGCATTCGCTGTGTCGTCCACGATCATGACAAAATTGGGGGCAAGAAATTATCTCACGACTGTTTGCGAATGTGAAGTTTTAATATTGTCTATTTTCGTCTTCAGGGAGCTGCTACAATCTGCTATATTGCAACGCGACCTGAAGTTAAGGGAGTGTCCGGGAAGTATTTTGCTAACTGTACCGAAATTCAGCCGAACAAAGATGCAAGCAATCCCCAGCTCCGCCATAAGCTATGGGAATACTGCGAAGCAATCACAAGTGCAGGAGTTGGGATGTAGAATTTTTAAACACCAAGACTTTCTGAATAGCAGTGAAATTTCTCTCACATGTACATGTATCCACCGCCTAAGAGTTGAGAATAGTCCCCCTTGGCCTGGGGTTTAAGAGATTCTCTGTTTGGAGAGAATGGTTCATTCTAACGTATCAATCATATCTATCAAACTTTCGATGTTAAGTGAAATAATAGTTAAGATCGGATATATTCCATAATACTTCACACACAGAACTTGAACTGCCTAATGAGAGTCTACATGATTGTCAAATACTACATCGACATCGCTACTTCGTGTTCTCACTGTTCATTGTATGCACGTAAAGAGAGAGTACACGCTGGAAGTTCTGGACGAGACGTCGTAACGATGAAGAAGAATCTATATTCTCGTCTTCATGTTGTCTGTATCGGCAGCAATTTTTTACGAACATTCGTCCAAGTATCTGCTTATGGTACCAGTGAGTAGGATACGTCTACGTCGTGGCGATGGCCGTCTCGACCGGTCGACACGGCCACGAGTAAATTGTTCACCCTTGGAACAATTTACACCATCTGACTGAGAATTCAGTCACTCTAAAAAGACTATTCGATGCCAAACAGTCATACCCCCAGGATTATTGACTTTCTCTATAATTATCTATTGCAATTTTTATTAGCTAGAACCCGAGACCAAAACGTTTCTCCACTCTGTCGTTGCCAAATGGCTGGACCAATCCTGCTCCCTCTGGAGGCTTCGATTTCAAAAAAAAATTAGAGTACAATTTGTGCTCCAAAAGTTTTTGTACTGTACAAATAATGTTATCGTATACCACACGAACTAGAATATTTAACGTGGAATTCAGCAGAGTAAAAAGATTTCGACCTTGGAAATGAGAATGTAAAGTTGTTGAAAAGCCTTATCGATTTGAAACTCTGCAAAGTGGAGTAGTGTGTACTTTACTGCCTTTCTGGAACATCGTTTTATCCACCACTGTGGCAATAACTTGCACTCATCTGGTCATTGTTACTAAGCGGGTATATAGGGTCAAAAACATGTTGTCATGCATCGAGAAGATTACACCTAGAGAACACAAGTACTATAAGAGGGAGATCGTCCAAATCTAAATCATCGGAATCATCGGAATATTAATTTGACCGATTTAGAACGTTCTCGATGTTTTCCAGGTTTGATGTATGCTCGACAATTAATATTTATTGCTAAACCAATTGTGCAGTCAGAACATTTTACCGTAACTGCTCACGTTTTGTGACGGTGACCAGATCCGATGTGCCAACAGCGGATTTGAAAACTGTGCCAATCGCGTTCTGAACGTTAAAGCTATCTTTGCATGTTCGGGAAAGCTGTTGTTCCTTTCTCATCGAGGATATCACCTAGAAATCTCATACACATGTGATCGATAAGTTGTGCATGAAGAGAGTGACATCCGGTGAGCTGGTGTTGCAACCACTTGTCAAGTAGCATCGACATTCATGAAGAGATTTAGAAAGAAAGAAAAATCTATATTCATTGCCGCATCCTGAATCAGTCCATTCCGTGTCCATGAACTACTATGTGGTCATTGTGGAAGCTGATGGGAGCATCAGAATGTATCTCGGAGACTTGATGGTTCTCTATGATGAGGAAATGTAGCTCTTAGCATATCTTGACTTAACATGAGAAGGTTGTCAATGGACAACATCAATTAGCTACTGTAGGCATTGGATCTAAAGCACAGGGGGACATACTGATACTCGAGGCTGCTGAATCAATTAAGGCTGTAATGCACTAATTTTCAGCATTACATTCTCACAAGTGCAGTCATCAGATTACAGTAGATTAAGGCCGCCGAATTTTGTCGTTTTATCATAAGCATAATATGGTTCGTTAACAAAAAGTTTCCACAAAGTAAGGACTATGTCCTCAATTTCTCAATATTTAATCAGTGCATGTGAAATTCTCTCTATATGCATGTCCTAAACGTTCTCAAATGACTAATTCAGCAGGCAAGAACTTCACTCGTAAGAAGGTGCACACGACGCATGACCTCAAGCATTTGTAGTCAAAAATAAAGTTTTTGAGGTGAAATGGCATCATTCTTCTGCAAAGAGCTGGATTATGTGGTCACCACAACTAGTGCAAGTATGAAAGCTGTAGACCTTGAAGAGCTGGACGAAGAACTTCCAGACGAACTTTGGCCGTACCAGACCCTAGCTGTCTAAGGCAAGAGATGGTGAATTCTTGTATTACGACAAGATCAGCATACGAAATGTCCAGCGAGGAGTCGAGGTACTGGGTAGAAAGTATGAGCTCCGCAAATCTAAAATACGACCTTCTACATTACACGGTTCGACTTGAATCCAGGTCATCTACTTTCGGTTCTCACGAGCAAGATTTCGTGATTACTGTGAGGTGAAATTTGAGAAATCAATCTCGCTTGTAATCTAGACGTGGAGTTTATCGAGCGGAATAAACTTTTTCCTCGACAAGGAACCAAGAGTTACCAACGTGGAGCTAGTCTACCAATTCACGAGCAAAGACAGCATCAATCGTTCGTAATGAGAGGCTTTAGCTCCGCGACGTTTATGGACGACACGGAGAGTTTGGGGCTCAGCTTCTGTGTCCGGAACAAGAGTGAACTGGAAATATACAACAAATATGGTCTAGCTAGTTACTACGCTTGCTTGTTGAGAGGCTTGGAAAAAGGTTCGGTCTCGAGTGAGAAGGACCAGGCGAAACCACAAGATTCACCCAGTACTACAGACGTGCCTTATCCAGGACCCAAGAATATCCTTGAAGCCCCAGCGTGTACTCCTCTCCTTTAGCGGAATAGACTGCTTCTGAAACTAACAGGCAACGACTTTCCACTTTCGAGCTGAGCAAGCAAGTAGCAGGCGCTCTCTCTTTCATGCGAATCCTGCCTGGACAACGCTCCATACACGGACATTTCATCATTGTATCTGTCCTGATATAAAGCTCAACCACCGGTAGAGCACTAGCAACATGAGGAGATAGAGACATATCGAGCTAAGATTAATTTACTTCTTGAAACTCTGGCCTCGGCCAGCTGCTGTTACTGTGAGGTGAAATTTGAGAAATCAATCTCGCTTGTAATCTAGGCGTGGAGTTTATCGAGCGGAATAAACTTTGTCCTCGACAAGGAACCAAGAGTTACCAGCGTGGAGCTAGTCTACAAATTCACGAGCAAAGACAGCATCAATCGTTCGTAATTGATTCGGTTTTGGCAGATTGATGAGAGAAAATTCAGGTGTCCTGTGATAAAGGATTTACAAACGACAACTTCCGACAGTACCTTCGTTGATGAACTAAAGTTCGGAATAAGGTTCGGATCCGTTTTTTCCTAAGATGTGAGGACGTACAAATAGTTTTCAGCTAAAGCAGTGAATCCGTATAGCTATCCTCTGGTACGGTTCATCCTCTGGTAATCAATGACCAACAACTGTAGAACCGTCCTCATAATCAGGACTCATGAAGAAGAAGACCTATCTCTCGAACCTGTCCATAATGGTAACAAACGATCGTTCTGCAGGTCGATAATTACATGAATTTGCTAATAAATACGGAAGGGGAGATTTTGTTCGAGACATATGTTCCTCAATCTGCCGATGTTTGGTGCCGTGGCTGTAATATGCTCACGTTCTACAGTAATTCCACCGGCTAATTAATAAACCAAGGAATGGATGTATTGCAGTTGTGGCGCAAATGCCCCGATTAGTGAAACCATAATGGTTTAGAAATTGTGGGAGGAATATTGAAAGTGGAATGAATTGCACCTCGCGCATTGGAATCACGGCCTCCAAAGATTAAACAGCTCATATAGTGGTCAAAGAGCAGACCAACTCACTACTAGAATTCAAGCGCAGAAGAGCAGAAACGGCGAGTTACGTAGAGCATGGCGTCTGGAGGACGACGATCTACACATATACGAGAAGTCCACACGATCATGTACAATGTATCAAGTTCAACATCTCCAACAGCAGCTGCAGATGCAGCAGCATGCAAGCGATCTTCGTCATATGGTCTCGCACCTACCCACATCTAATTTCTGTACGATGCAGGTACCTACCAAATTACAGCTCATAGTGATGGTTCGCGTAATGCGAGCGTCGATGATGGATCTTCGACATTCCATCATCTCCTGGAGACAGAAGAAGTAGTACGCACTCCATCGAAGTTCACGAAAGTATGTGGAGGAACCTGGACCTTCTCTCCACGTGCTTCCAGAGCTTGAGTATTTACAGTTACGATTTTTACTTTGCAAGGCAAAAAGTGTGACCTCTACCGCCAACCTGCCATTAAGTTCTGCTGATTGGGTACCGTACTCTACTCTACTGCATGCTCGCTAGCTTGTACTGGAGTTGGACCGTCGGCCAGTTGTATAGCGCAGAACACAGTGGAAAAGTTTTTGGGTGGCCAGTTCTGGCATTACTTACTGTATTCCCTGCCACTGACAAACATTCTTGTAAAGCAAAAGCCGATGATCAGCAATCTCTCAAACTCCCCCTTCACTGACTGCTACCGGACGGCGCGGATACTTTCTGAAATCTTGTATGGGATGATCACAGTTCTCGAAGGGTGATTGATGTGGTCCTTTTCCCATGACGCACGTTCTTATCTAAGCAACTTTTCTCAGCAGGTACGTTCTGGTCATGCATGAAAGCATCCTCGATACAGGACTGAATTGTGTTTCAGATTGTAGAAGGCAGAAAGCTCTCTGGTAGATAGAGCTCGTGACAGTGCATTACAGAAAGTATAGAAACTGCCCCCTTGTCAGCGACGAATATGCTTTATGGCCAGGAAAACGAACCTTCGCGATTCAGATCCCCTAACATACACAACAATGTGAGCTCATAACCGCCGAGTATGTCAAGCATATGATCTTGTCGGGCTCCGCGAGCTTCTGGCAAAGAGAGGATGAGCATGATGCGGGTAGGAGCCAGGCAGTTGAGCCAGCGATGGACCTCCACACCGAGCAGAAGCGGGAGCTGGTTTCCAGCAGATGCCGCTAGCTTCTTCCAACCGCGAAATTCTACGGCTTTAGAGAATATCGGTCATTGCAATCATGCATTCTTGGATGCCCGAAGCATGCCTGAGCAAATTTACCATTCACAGATCCCCCGGCGGTCGAAGGCCATCGACCGATGATGGCCGGTGCCACCGTTGAGCTAAGATAACCCGAAGGTGTCTGAGCTGAACTCGACCATTCTTGCAGCGCGGCCGCCCTGCGAACGTTTCGTGCAACGGGCGACGACAACGTAGGACTAGTATTGCTCAAGCTGCCCGCTTTTCAGAGCGACTACCGTTCAACAGAAAGGTAAGTAGCAGCAGCCTGCAGCTGCATGCCTCATGACTCAAATATCGCTCGCTCAGGCTGCCGTTTATCGGTTGATTGTCCTTCGACCCATTCCCAAAAGCAAACCACGTGACTTCAGGCGAGCGAGCTCGACATCGAGCTCATGTTCATATTCTCCTTCAGCTTTCCACCTCTGACACTGCAACAGTTCCCGAAAGCCGTGCTCGAGACCTTTCATTTCCATCTCGACACTTCAAGATTCTGCTGCATTCGCACTTTCATAGCTATCGTCGCCCATTTCATGCTCTCGGATTTCTCTGCTTTGCAGGCTCGGGACGGGGAATCACGCTTCTTTCATCGGGGTAAAGTGGACCTATAATATCTTTCCCGCAGCGGGCGCTGTTTGGCCTGGGGAAGATAGTATCTAGATCGAAACATGCTTTGTTTCGGAGGCGGATCCATCGACGTTTCAGAGCCAGTTCCGCTTGAGGTGCAAGAAGTGTACGAGCCTCCGTGGCTGGCCTCTTTTCTAGACTCGGAGGAGTACCTGACAGACTGCCCGCTGAATTGCTTCAACAAAGGCCAGCAGATAGAAGGGAGGCCAGTGCGCGCTCACCGAAGGAGGTACTTCTGCATCGAATGCCCGGAAGAGGGTGCACAATGTCTGGCCAGGATCATGGACCAGCACTTGAGGCACCGGGTGCTCAAGGTCCGCAAAGTGACGGGAGGAGGAGGCCCAGTGATCAAAGCCCGGGACGTGGACCAGCTTGTAAACATCTCGTTGGTGCATCGCCTCTCGAACTCCACTGACGAATTCTTGTACGTAAAGCTCACAAGCTTCAGGCAATCGGTGTGGGGCACGAGCCCGCAGAAAATCCTGTGCTACGAATGCTTGCGGCTCGCGAGCAGTAAGGAGGATCAGATGTACAAATACTGCTCCATCAAATGCGCTTATCCTGGCGCTACTCCCAGCAACCAAGTGGGCGTCTCAAGGGCCTCGACGGGCCCCGCCGAGCAGCTGGGCTGCATCAGCGGTGTCACCTCGGTGGCAAGCGATAATCTCCAGGCCAGGGCATTGCTGAGGTCCAAGTCCTGCAGGGGGCCGTCCATCTGCCGACACGATCTACAATTTTCCCATCCCGGAGCTGCTGGTCCTTCGGGACGCCAGGAAGCGGCGGCCTCATCGCCGGATGTCCCTGCTTCGCCCGCGACCTCGGACACCTCGTCGTCGACGGCGTCCAGAGGCTGGCGCAGTCGCCTCTCGAGGTATCTGAGCTTCAGCAGCTCCAAGAAACACATACCTCATATGGAGAACCTTTCCCCCTCGACGATTTCGAGTCAAGAGCGAAGAAGCAGTTCGGATCGGTTTGAGATCTCGCCGTGGAAAGAATCGGTAGGGGTGGCCAGGAGGGATGCGACGGAGTTGAGATCTGATTATGATCAGCACGGTCAAGCTTCTGGCCGGCCTCCTCGCCGGACGCTTCTCGAGAAACGACAGTCTCAAGCCAACGCAAAGGTGAACAGCAAGGGCAGTGCCAAAGTGGCCTCGAATGACGGGCCCCGGGCGAGCCCGGTGGGTTCTGACCACTCGCTGCTGGTAAAATCCAGAGCGAATCTTGGAGCTACTCTTGCTCGACGGTTGAATGACCAGAATGTAAGAGGCGGTGCAGCCACTAAACTCTGCTGGAGAAGCCAAGACAGCGATCCGTCCGATGACGATGACGGACTGCAAGATCGCTGGGGAGCCGTTCGAGGCCGGGTTTTGAGCAGCCCCGCTTTGCCGTATATGAGGATTAAGCTTGAGAATGAGGCGAGACGATCGTCGCTGGAACCCTCTCAAGCTTCCAGCACTGAGCCGGCTGCGCCGTATACTATGAACGCATTTGTGGATACAAATTCTAATTTCAGATGTAGTCGGGCGCGATTAGAATATGCTGTTTACACTGGACATAGTGAAGACAACCCAGATCGTGGTTTCGGACAAGCCATTGACAATCATAAGACGCCGAATTCAAGAGATTACCAGAATATTTTACTGTGAGTTCTTTGCAGTCCCTTCTCCTCCCATTCCATGTTCTCTTCCAGATTACTTCGACGTACCTTCTCCGATTATATAGACGTCCTTCTTGTTCTCGGATTGTAGTACGGTACTTTGGAAGCTTCAAATAATTGCATTACCTAGGCTCTGCTGCTTTTGGTCAGGTTGTGATATCTTGAATAAAATTCTGCGTGGATTTGATTGCAGTGTTGGTCAATATCACACTGTTAGAGAGTCTTCCCTGACTCAGAAATTGCTACGGCATCTCTTCCACGCTGAATTGATGTAAATTTTACTCAAGAACTCGTAAAACTTGAGAGGTTATACTTGGACAACTAACCTGTTATGTTTGGATTCTTTTGTGTGATGGAATTGTAGGACGCGGAAAACTAATCTCTTTGAGATGCGAGAAGAATGGAGAGCCGAGAACCCGAAATGTGGACAGCTTCCGACAGGAAATGTACAAACACAGCGGCATTCTTCGAAATGCAGAAGTTTATCCGAAGGAGGCGATGATCTTGGAGAACAAAATCTCTGAGTACATGAGTTATATTGGCCTTTCTTCGCGGTTCAGATATTAGAATTTCTAATGTGTGCCGTCTGGTGTAGTCGGGACAACTAGTAATAGCTACAACCGGATCGTCTATAGCAAAACCTTCGGATGACTACACAAATGAGTGTCCACGGTTGTGGCCATCGCGCGCTTGATCACCATGCAAAATACCATGTGGGGAAATGTGGAGAAAACGTTTACAACTGTCTCCATCTGTTGTCAATCCAATGTACATACCTAAATAGTAATCTCTTGGCGTCTTGCTCTGTAAGGAAAGTTTCTAAAATTGTGTAGATTAGAACTGTCTCCTGTGTGTTACGTGCGTAGGTTCGTTCCATCCACGAGAATTTCCACTGACACCACAGATCTTTCAGAATAACTAGTTCTTGAGATTCGAATTACAGTGACGCTAGTTGATTTGAAGGCCATTTTCTGGACAACAGTGCGATCTGATAATAAGCGCCCGGTCTAGACATCCTAATGAGAGACTAAAGGATTAGTCAACCAACAGCAGGATGCACGGCGGCACACCTGTATACCCTTGCACCGAAAAGAAGCAAGATGCGTCCGTAGTACTTCCACAAAGTCGGTTAAAAGGTCCGAATCAACCTCCGGCGAAGGCGGTAGATACGGAGTGGATGTTTTGGGTAGAATACTGGTTGATAATTTTCAGTGAGCCTGTACGGTGAAGCCATGCAAGGTAGATTTCAGTCTTCTTTCGTGTGCAGTGCTTGAAGTGAAGCAGAGGGCAATAACTATCGTGAATCTCTATTCCTCTCTCGCGTGCGGTTTTTGCATCGTGGAAATTGTTTATATCAAAAATCATATGAAGATGAAAGAGCGTTTCCCCATTCTCAAATAGCCAACGTCATCTATTATCTCGTGGGCAACTATACGTTGAACCTGACGCCTTGAAAATGCATTCGTATCACTACTGGTACGAGTATAGAGTGAAAACTCCTGGTACAGCTGGGGACCTATGAAATTCAGCCCCTGAGTCAACGGTCCGTTTACATCCACATTAAACCTCTGAAGAGGGATGAGATGTTCACCACATTGATGAGGTAGTTTGCGTCATGTCCACTAATAACTTTTTGAAACCTAATTCCTATTGAAAAAAGTACGTATCACACTGCATGTCAAGATGACACGGCAGTCCGGTCAAGGCGCGAGTGTACATTACGAAACTTTGGCAGTTCTCCCAATACCACTAGTCATGTTCTAGTCAAAGTATTAAGAGGGAGATCAAGAAGCCAGCAGCTAAGGCGTCCAAGCTCTAACACGATCGTTTATTTTGAATCAGCCAATCACTCTAAACCTTAATAGATAGAAGCGGTGCACATCATATACCTAAGTCATTACTCTCGAGAAGGAGAAAATAAATATATCAAGAGGAACCTTGGGTTCCCAGCTTAATACAAAGCACCTAATGAAGATGTTATACATGAATACATTGTCAGGAAGGTCCCTATTGGACTCCTGAAAATTCTTTATCTACTCTGGTGCACTAACAAACCCATGCAGTGCTAATGTACATGCAGTGGTTACTACGAGTATCAAAACACTGCAGATACTGACAGATAAACTACTCACTTTCATACCTTTTTGAGGTCAATAGCCGTGACATAACTCAACTAACTAGTTTTGATTATGTCGAAGAATAGAATAATAAAAGACTTACTTGGGACAAGAGCTACAGTCTTCCCTGTATGGTTGCAGATTTTCCTGCATTCTCCTTGGGTTTCTCACCTTTGGATACCTCAGCTGTGGCGCCATTACCTGTTTTCCCTTTTGCACCCTTTGAACCACTTACCGGACCTGATCCCTCCACCATTACAGGTTGAAACTGCGACAATAATTGGGAAACGGTTAGTTCTCAGAACTCTCTCATCCGCAGTAAGAGCAACGAAAGCTCAGCTGTTGCGACTGAAGATTAAACATGCAAGGGAAAAGTAAACCTGATAGACTGAATAGATGACATTGCGCCGGATCTGTGCCATCATTTCCAAGAAGAGGTTGTATCCCTCCAGCTTGTACTCGATCAGTGGGTCCCTCTGGGCATATCCCCGTAGTCCGACAGCTTGTTGTACAAATTTTAAAGCTTGCAAGTGCTCTTTCCAGAGATTGTCTGTTTGTGTCAACACAAAATACCTCTCTGCCTCTTGCATCAGGCCTGGTACCTTTTTCTCCACCTCCGCCTTTACATAGGACAAGCAATCGATCAAACAATTGTGATCGAAAACACGAATATTCTACGACAATTATCCGTAAGATACAAATTCATTTAAAAAGTGCTTGAGGATCGGCTGCCTAGATACAGGTAATGAAAAAGAGTCCAACTGACTTCTTGTAAGTACAGCACCAAGGCTACCTTTTTCTGCAGGTAAGCATCACGACCACGAACTTGCAAGTAATCACGCAAGCTGTCATAAGTTGTGCACTTCTCCAACAGATGTTCTGCGGTCAAATCCTCCAAAAGGGCACAGTACCTGACATTAACAGGCGATTAAAACACTAGGTCAAGTTAATCCAATCATGACCGAAATTTCCATCCAGCATTACTTTGAACGAAAACCCTAAACCAGTTGAAACAGCGATGAATTACATACTGCTTCACTTTCGCGACTAGCGATTCCAGATTCCACTCCGCTTTGGGCAGGGCAGGATCAACATTGGCCTGATACAAGAAATAAGGTTAATGCAAGCTCTGCATCCAATCAAATAGACTGAAAACCACAGAAAAAGCAGGATCATGTGACAGAAAACTAAACAATATGCCTACACGCTAAGATCCAGATGATTCAGAATCAGCCTACGTAATACTAACCTCCAGTATATCGTCCATGGTCAACTCCGAATACTCAAGCATCAAGCCCTCAAGATCTTTAGATTCTAAAGCGCGTCTGCGTTCGCTGTACACACGGTCCCTCTGGCTGTTCAAAACTTCGTCATACTCAAATAGCTGTTTCCTGATATCAAAAAAATAGTTCTCAACTTTCTTTTGAGCTTCATCGAGAGCTTTGGTGAGCATTTTGGACTCAATAGGTAAGTCCTCCACTCTGAAGGCCTTCATCAACCCCTGCAGCATACGAATGGAGTGGTATCAAACACAGCTACAAACATAGCACATCCAATCACATGCTATAGATCGTTGAGAAACTCCGGATTAAAATAACTGACTGTATCAAAGATGCTTGCTGGTTGTGATCATCAAAAAGAGGAATGAAAACACAAACCAATAAAAATAATACTTCAACAAAAAAGCTTGAAGCAACACAGAAAAACCAAGTCAACGAACGAACAACGAACGAAATCGTACACCTTACAACATTTAGCAATGAACTCTTATACTCAGGTCGCCTACAGCGACATTATGTAACCAACTGATGATTCTACGTAAAGATCTGTAAACAAACAAAGCAAGCATCGTTCAGAGACAACAACTCATACAAGACTCTTTTTTTCACCTGAATCCGATCTCCTCCAAAAATACGGAATATATTATCTTCGAGACTTAAAAAAAAGCGTGAACTTCCGGGATCTCCCTGTCTTCCACTACGACCACGCAGCTGAAAACAGAAAGGTAATCACGCGATCAAGAAAAGCAAAATGTTAAGCCAATGTTCCTAGTAGTTAATCAAATATCCAGTGTCACAAGACACAATCCGCAAAACCTCGGTAGATCCCAAGCTCCCAAATAGAAGTTCATCCTCAGGCATGAAACATGGTTTTAGCATAGGTAGTGTCGGCACTGTATTGACTTTTGGAAACTGATTCTAGTTTCTGAAGTGCACACATTGACGAGTAAGCTATTCAGAAATGGAAGCTCTGAAAAAGTTGCAAAATCCCAAAATAATCTCAACTGTAGTGCACCAACCCTACGTTAGGTACCACTTTTACAATATGATTTACATTCTAAAAAGGAAGAAAAGGTCTTCTTCTATCTTATATATCACAGAGAATTCACCTGGTTATCGATACGACGAGACTCATGCCGCTCAGTACCGACAACATGAAGGCCCCCAGCAGCGACCACCTAATAGGTATAAGAAATGACACAAGTCGAGCTCCAACAATCAGATGAAACAATAGCAAATGATGTATTCCAATGATAAATCAAGACAAGACATCAAGAGGCTGTAAGAGGACTCACTTGTTTCCGCTCTTCCTCGGTATATGCCTTGAACTCTGCGGTTATAGCTTGTAGAGCTTCACGAAGTGCCAAGATCACATGATCTTCAGTAGGGCCCTGGAGAGACAATGCGTTTTCAACATCAACATGAATCACGGGCAAGGGCTCTTTCCTTTCAACTCCCATATATTACTCAGTATTGAAATGGTTTCAGCCGAACCCAACCTCACGGTCAAAAATATTTGAAACTACCAGTCCGGGTAGATTACCAAGAAAAAGGTAATCAGCCTTTCGAGATCAGCAGTTCTACTTCATTCCTCACTATGTATCAGGCTGAGCACTGAAGTTGGAAAGAGAAGATACATGCGAAAGTTTCAAAACGCAACGCAACACTTGCAACGACGATCCTCGACATGAGGATGAAAGGTTGTACTCCATACCTTCTCGGAGGCATAAGACAACCTGTCTTCTGCTTCAAGCTCCGACAGTGACTTCTCTCCCCAAGCTTTCACAGCCACGTCCACAGCATTTTCGGCCATAGATATCGTACTATTCGAAAGATCACAAGGAAACAGGCTCGCTGTTACCTGTACAAATGTCGGTGCTTACAAGTCTTTATATTCCTTCAACAATTCAAAATATCAAATCACTATATATAAACATGGTGCCAGTGAGAACAATTCAAATCACTACCTTCCATGTCTTCCTTGGCGGTAACTTTGCATTCTTCTGAAATGGAATCTCTTCGTCACTCAACCGGACAACCCTGGGAAACGGCATCATAGAAAACTTAGTCGAGAAATCATGAGGACAATGCAAGTCAAAAATTACGATTCCATAGGCTTTCATCATAAACAATAGAGTAAAACCACCATTTACCTGGGCATGAGCAACTCTCGCAGCTTCAATTTAGCCATAAAATCCGCATTTCCTCCAAGGATAATGTCAGTACCTCTACCAGCCATGTTAGTGGCGATGGTAACTGCTCCAACCCTTCCACTCTGGGCAACTATCTCTGCTTCTCTCTCTACATTCTCTGGCTTAGCGTTCAAAACCTGTATTCGACAGGAATCAGTCATCAGAAGCTTGGGTAATCATTCTAGAAGGTAAACACACGAGTCAACATGGGAATAACCAATCCTAACAGTGCGATTGTTAATGATAAAGATGGGACACTCATCCAAAACATAATCCTAGATCCATAACCCAGTAGTCATTTCAAGATCGCATACTTCTCTCTTAACCCACTGCAGGCCGATTCTCGTAAAGTAAAGACGGGAAGCTGCGATCCAATAAGAAAATCTATGTGATCGAGAGTGCGTACGAACCTGGTGGAGAATACCGGCATCCCGTAGCTGCTGTGAAAGAGCCTCACTCTGCTCGACGCTGGTGGTTCCTACCAAAACAGGTCTACCGGTCTTGTGCATCCTTGAGATCTCGACCACAGCAGCTCGCCACTTCCCATTTACAGTCCTAAAGACAACATCTGATTCGTCCTGCAGACGACAATAAATGACTCATGTGTTAAATATCACTGATGTTGCCCACATCTGTAGAACGTCAACATGGGACTAATATCGACAAATGTATCTTCTTGATAGCTTTCCACTCATGGAAGTGTACACGGAGAACTGTCTGCTGGCTTCGCAAAAACCAAATTTGCTCGCCAGGTACCCCCAACCATCCCTAAAGATTCCTTACCTTTCTGACCATTGACCTATTTGTAGGAACAACGGTCACTTTCAGCTTGTAGATTTTCCCAAATTCTTCCACTTCAGTAGCTGCAGTTCCTGTCATCCCGCATAGCTTGGGATACTGAAGAGACAAATCCAATCACAATCAAGTCTGAGAGAGTGTTGTAGCCTCTCAAGGCATCGAAAGAAAACAACAGTTGCATGAGTTTTCAGAGACCGCAGTGAGATCTTGCAGACGAAAAAGAGTAATGAAGGAAGGTGCTTACCTGCAAGAAGAAGTTTTGATAACTGATGGAGGCCAGAGTAACTGACTCGTTTTGGATTGGCATTTTCTCCTTCGCTTCAACAGCTTGATGCAGACCATCACTCCATCTCCTTCCCTTTGTAATTTGAATGCAAACTATGCCACAGTGTTAATCCCAACCCTAAACCCATAGCAGCCTCTTCAGTTACTAAACGTTCACGAATCGTAAGACAGACTACATAGAAGTTACTTGGGCTCGACAACTGCACCATGGACACTTTCATGTCACATGAAGAGTCTGCACAAGCACATTTCATTCCGTCACGACTATCCAATAAGGAGATTAGCTACGCTATCCGACAACAGAATGTATATTAAGATAACTCACGGAAACTCGATAAACTATACTACTGTTATTCAGGGCAGTCCACAATAGTTGACAAGTGTCTTGCAGAAACAGATGTTAAAGTACCTGCATGACACGACCGGTAAATTCGTCCACGATCATGACTTCCTTATTCCGAATGATGTAGTTCACATCTTTGAGAAATAGCTCCTTGGCTTTGATGGCATTGATCAGGTAAGAAGCCCACTGTTCACGTGGATCATATAGATCTTTGCAGTTCAAAATTTCTTCTGCGGCCTCATATCCTTGCTCCGACAAAAGAACAGACTTTTGCTTCTCGTCAACCTGCCAAAAATTTTAACCCACCTCAGCATCCAGGAAAAATAGCTTTAGAGTGGCAAGATAACAGCATGTCGTGGAACTTCAATTCCTGATTAGTGTACGGCGAGTTTTCGTTGTGTACGGTGTAACGTAAGATGATGAGGCTGGATAGGGCTGGATAATGTTAAAGATGTCCCAGCAAGCGCCCTAGCTTGTTTCATATCTTCGCACGAACAAATGAAAATCTAAATTGTGAACAACTTGATCGCATTACAACTTCATCACTTGATAAATAACTTACAGTATAATGTGTATCTCGCACAAACACTCCCGCAATTTTGGCAGCTTTGTAATATCTCTCGCTGGGCTTCTCAGCGGATCCGGATATGATCAACGGAGTTCTTGCTTCGTCAATCAATATAGAGTCCACCTCGTCTATCACACAAAAATTGAAGCCCCTAAGCACAAGGTCGTCTTTGCTCTGCATTAACAATGAACAACATAGCAAGTTAATGGCCTTCCAAGGCAAACTAAATATCTCGAAGACATCTGCAGTCCTGTGAACCACCCTGATGCAACTAAATCATGACATTGGTAGTCACTGAACAGAACTAGCTCTCGTGGTTAGCTGATACGAATCGATGGACTAACATATTCAAGGTGGAGCTAAATGAAAAACGTTCACAGGTTAGAAGGTGTAATTTACAGTGGCAAGATTATCTCGAAGGAAGTCGAAGCCGAGCTCACTGTTGGTCACGTATGTTACATCACAGCCGTAGTTATCGCGCCTCTCTTGTGGACTCATACCCTCTGCAAACATGCTCATAAGGTTATTGAGCACGCAGCAATAGTTATAGGCATCGCATAGAACCCCGAAAAGAAATAAGCGGCACAGGAGAGTGCATTACGTTGAATTAGGCCAATTTTGAGGCCAAGAAATCGGTGGACCTGACCAACCCACTCACAATCACGCCGAGCTAAGTAGTCATTCACAGTGACCACATGCACTCCTTGGCCTGAGAGGGCATTCAGAAACGCAGGTAACACGGCAACTAGAGTCTTTCCTTCACCAGTCCTCATTTCGGCAATTTGGCCCTTGTGCAGCACCATTCCTCCTGTTAATTTATGATACGATTACAATATAGTCAGCGAAAGGAAAGAACTGCATTCTTTTTTCAGCAATAACATGTACGAAACAATTCACCCAAAATTGAAAGCCAATCGTTGGGGGATTAGCTTAAAATTCGTATAGACCAGCTGCAGAAAAAATTACGGTTGGCGCGGTGTTCAGAAGCATGAGCCAAGATGTTTTACCAGGCATGAGGTCATGAGCACTTCTGTGCGCAAAAGTAAAGCACACAAGTTGATATTGAGGGTTGAGTGCGGTTGTTTCTAGAAGTAAGTAATAGCTTTGTCACTAGTAATGGGGAGCTTGAAATGAAATACTAGGAGTTACATCGCATACTGAACTCGGCATAATTTACGAAAGGGCTCAAAGTCGTTAGATTCAAAACACAAATTGAAAAAGAAATATATGATGAGACTGTGAAGATGTGTAGGAAATTAGCATTCAACTTAACAATTCTTAAGTCTCGCTCCGAATACATATTCCTTTTGGATATTTCAACTAGCTCAAAAAAATTTGCAGGACACTGGACCTCTTGACATATCAGCAATTCACAAAACCCACAGGCAGAGCATATCAAGAGCCCGTGAAACCTACCGACGAGCTGGACATCGAAAGGTCGAAGACCAAGAACTCGTTTCGAAGCCTCTCGGACTAGTGCAAAGGCTTCCTGTGAGACGGACAATTTGATCAGAGAAGCAGAATTTCGCACAAAAGTTTGTCATCTTTTGCGAATTGCCCCTTGCGCCTGTTATTAACTGTAAAAATCAGGACTAAACAAACGATGACGTACAGGAAGAAGAGAGTCCAGGGATTCGCCTCCCTGCGCCCGCTCCTTCAAAATCGTGGTATTTTCCCTTAACTGATCATCGGAGAGCTTCGCCAATTCAGGCTCCAGGCTATTGACCTTGTTCACCAACCCATTGTACTCCTGCCGAGTTTTCTCTCCTAAATCCTCACCCTTAAAAAGCCCGCCAAGCATTCCCCCCAACATGGCGGTAGCGTTCACAACATCCCCTCGACGTTTGCGCTCATTGCTTGTTCCCCGATCTACGGCACTCCACATCCCTCCCGAGCCCGAGCGATTATGGTAACTCGAGAGGTCCGCACTGGACGATCGGTGCAATCCATTGTATTGCTGCCTTACGGATGGGGATGAGCTGAAATATGAGGATTGTTGCACTGACAGTGTCCTGGCCAGAACAGGGGTGTGAACTCCTTGTGCACTACCCTGCGCACTTGACGCCACTCCGGCGACCTCATGGCAAAGAGCTGCTGCCGCCGTGTGCGCAGCCATTTCTGTTACTACTGGACTGAGTATATAATAAAATCCAGAAAGTGTATTCTTACAATCTATTCTACCAACCTAACTTTATCCCACCCTCCGTTCATGACAAGAAGATTAACCTCCAGACGTTTGTCGTCCTTCAAGAGCTCTAGATGCCAATTCCCTGCGTTAGTACATCCAACTCTGCATCCGTGCCCGAGATTCCACCACCACGGTCCAATAGAACAGAAATTTCCCCTGCCTCTATCCTCACATCCTTGTCCCACACCGCCTCCTCTTTAAGTCCTCCAAACCCTCCAACCAGCACTCCCGCTTGACTCAGATGTTCAACGCTCGTTCGCAACTTCGAAACTGTTCTCCACGCTCGATCCCTCTATCAATCCACCACTGTCAGTTGCTTCAGTGGTAAGAATGATAGCTTTCTGAAGACGTGTGCTCAATCACACTCTTGAACACTTGCATTACTCCCGCAGCAGCAGCAGCGAATTGCCTCACTGCATGGAGAATCAATCTGGCGCACGATGCGAGAGTCGTCGACTGGAACTCGAGACCCGCGGACCTCGACTGCGAATCTGATCCACAATCGCCTGTAGCTTTCGGTCGACTGTCGATGTGGAGCACGGAGAGTCGATAGATTGCCGCGTCGTCCACACCGGAGAGAAGCACCGAAGCACCACAAGGCCGAGCGGCTTCCACAGAATGCCACGTGGTTTAAGTTCGGCGTGTGAGTTCTTCGTTGCGGATAGCGGTCTGCATACATGGCAGCCTCGTCAGCTCCCTGCAGATCAGCTTGGAGATAACCTTTACCATTTGGCATCGTGGAAACAATCTCCCTTGTCTCTCTCTTCGAAATACTGCATTGGTTGGCTCTAATCATTTTTTCCCATTCTCTGTTCATATCACTTTTTGTCAAGTTCCGAAGCAAAACGCGCAAACTTTCTGCATGATATAATAACATATCAAAAGTCATTTCAGATTCACTAAAAGTGTTTTCCTTTAGTTGTTGCATGTGATTAGAGTGGAGACTACCTTGGAAAACCCACATATAACCTATGTAATATATTATCATTTTCAAAACTGTTTCATGTGTACTTTTAGAGGTGTCCGTTGGTTGCTCCATTTGACTAGAGTGGTATTAACAAGTCAACCACCTTGATGATTGCATTGCGAGTATGCTTCTATGAAATTAACACCCATGACATTAGTTTGATTGCTAGTGGGAGCTCTTATTGGGCATTGTTAATCTTTTATCTAGTGTGTACTTCCAACACTAAAATTTCACATGATTATCTTGTACTTCATAATGTTAGACATTAGATTAGTTTTAAACAACCATGCGTCTTGGTTTTTTCTACTGAACAATATACAAGGTGCTAACATCCAAATGTGGAAAAGTTGAGATGTAGCAATTGGGTTGGTGTGCATTTATCTAGGATCATATTTTACTAAATAATTTTTAATATGTACCTTTTAGTTACTCTTCTCTCTTCTATCAACATGAATCTTCACATCAAAATGTGATTGTTTTTACATACAAATGCTTGTATAATGCTAATGGTCAATAGATTCGGCTGAAAAACACATTATAAATCATTCATTCATTTGGATTTTCTTTTATAAATTGCTTGAGAAACTCAAACTTATCTTGATGAAATAAATCTTCACACAATGAACTCTCATAACTAGCTTGAGAGTCTATACTCTAACTCTCTACTTATATTACTTAAGAAATTATAATATTAATAAATGATATTTATCATCTAACTTACTTTTTCAAAAATAAATCCAGGTGTGCTTGATTCATTTTCAATATGTGACAACATGTTATAGATCAAACTAAAAGTTTTAGAATATTTTTTACCATTGGGTTGAGATGGCGATAAGACATTTGAGACTTCCAAAGTTTTAGAACCTCTATTTGACACTAAATCAATTTTTGATTTAATCTACTCCATGAAATTTCTTTTCCTTAGTCAAAGCAATCAAAACCACTCAGTCAGTATAAAAGCTTAACTAATTACTCCGCCATGCATTGATATCATAACTAAACTTAGTCATAACTAGCTAAATTTAATTATAACTAAGATAATCATGTTCAACTTGTTGGTTACAACATCTACAATAATTAATCTTACAATTCATAAGTGCCACGTATGTGGAGAGAATGATTTTTGTGGCAAGCAATGACATTTAGATGTGGTATGTTTTGCCAAGTTACCAAAACGAAGACAACAGCAGCGAGCAAACCACCACACATCAAATTCTAATGATCCATGGATTAAAGATAAGCAAGACCAACTTGCTCCTGCATCTTCATCTTCAGCATAATAGGTGAATTGCAGTAAACAAGGGAGAAAGATACACAAGCAGGCAAGAAACATGTCTTTCAAGTGCAAACTTTGCATGTCTAGACGAAAAATTTTGAGATTGAGACGTTTCTTGACCAACTTGCTTCATTGATCGACAAGGATGCACAAGCAACGAAGCTCGTGCATATCACGCCATGAACGTCTAGAGGAGAAGTTTCTGAACATTATGTGTTCCAAGCGCAACACCAAGATGCAATTTTATCAACTTCATGTGAATCCTATGCTTGTTGATTGTGAACAGGATTACCTACTTGCAGGGATCTCTATGTCCTTACGTCATATTATTGCTATGCATAGAACTAGATCTCACAGGCTTGAAATTGAGTAAGGAAGTTGGCTTAATATTGATAGTAGTGAACGTATTTGTAGATTATATGACGGTGGATACATTGAGAATGAAGAGCATGTATTTATTACTTGTTCTAGGTACAAAGACATTAGGCTTGTTCATAATATAGATGTGGAGAATTTCTATTCTTTGTTACAATTAGTTACTTTTGATTTAGGTTGTTATATTAGAAACATTATTAGTTACCGTTCTAGTGCTCTTGGCACTAGTTAAGGATTGACCTTTGGGTTTCTTTCCTTTATTTCTGATTTTTAGCCTTTTAATCCTTTGGGTCCCCCGGGCTTGGTCTATTACCATTAATCATTTACTAGAGTATATTCTAGAATGAATAAGCTTCCTCACACTTTCTATGGCTTGTCACATATTGCCATGATTAGAGAGTGCTTGAAGATAACTATCACACAATCTGGTCTTGTTGCAAAATTTTGAGCTTTCTTTTGTTTGTCTTATTTTGTTTTCCAGCAAACTAGCGCTGCTTCACGAGTTGCCACCAACAAGAAGGTGGTACAAACTGATGGTTTGGACTCTAATAGAGTTTCCGTCACGAGGTCAAAAGAAGCTTCTGTTATCATTTATCAATCATTCAACCCTCTCACTTCAGCCTAAAAACGCAAACTTTTGATGATAAGAGAGCACGAGGTCTATTTCACAACAATATGCGAAAGGAATAGCAAATTCAATCATTTCTAATGTGCCTACATACCAGAAGTATGCACAACAAGCCCTTGATTTTGATGCATTGGTGTAAGAAATTTTTTTAGGTTTGAAACAAAAACTTCTTGAAGCAGCATTGTTTAGTTTTTTTTTATTTGCAATTTAATATCCACGACGTGATGCAATTGCTAGATGATGATATTAGTGTTGCACGACTAAATATACCAAGGTTAAGAGGTCCAATCAATTGTAAAGATGTTGATGAGCAAGAAGATTATGAATATCCATTCTCTTCATATAACGATTCACACATGAACTAAAATACTCTTAATGACAGCCTAATTGCCACTATGAGAGGAGCTATTGCTAATAATAGCACAAAATCATCAAGTGAAGGTACATACCTTCAAGGAGCTGCTCTTGGACACTAGAACATAGCAAATCATCTTGAGCATTCAATTTGCCAAAGAGATAGATTTGCACAATTCCAACTTGCAAAAATCTCGGTGGCAGATTTGGACAACAAGTGGTAGCGTTGAGTACATTATAGGTGAAAGCTTTGGATTGCTCATTTTATCTTTTAACTAGGGTATCAACCAACAGCAGGTGTGATGCTTGATTACAAATGCCACAAGCTATGATGTTTTGATTGATCATAAGGCATCATTTCTACTTGATTTTATTATCAACAATTAGCACAAACATGCTTATTATCAAATTGATTGGAAAATAGATGATTTGAATCTAAATTACATAACTCTAAATTTTAATGAAGAACATGCTTTATCCACGCACCATTGCTTATTAAAAGAGATCAATATTCTTTTTAACGTTCCCATCCAACTACATGAACAGATGATAAGGAGAAGATTGAAGTTGTCTAAGCCATTGTAAACTTGGTGGCGGGTTCCTTGGAGGTTGTGCACAAACAAGAGTTTTTACAAAATCTTAAGACAACTCAAAAATCCTTGGTTACATCCATGCACAAGTTTTAAAACCTGAAAAATGACAAGGAGTCAATTCAACCATTATTGAGCAAGACATTGGCATAGACTTCACCCAAGGATGGAGTCATCATCTTTGACTTGTTTTGTTATATTTCTATAAAGCTGAAGACGCTATTGCAATCAAACATAGTAGTAAAGCCCTACATATACATGGATGTTGTTGATTTTGTTCGTGTGTACAAAATTTGGTAGCATCGCACATGTGGAAGCTTAAAAGACTTCAGCCAAGGATAGAGTCATCATCTTTGACTTGTTTTGTTATATTTCTATAAAGCTGAAGAAGGTATTGCAATCAAACATAGTGGTAAAGCCCTTCATATACATGGATGTTGTTGATTTTGTCCGTGTGCACAAAATTTGGTAGCATCGCACATGTGGAAGCTTAAAAGTAGGTTTTTGCAGCAATAATTACTGTTGTATAGAAGGCAAGCTTCACTTTTATCCCTTTGATAATCAAATCAAAAAACTACAACATCTTGATCTCATTGATTTCTTAGACTTGATCACTACATATTGAAAGTGCTAAGATTTTTTTGCAGCTAGTTTGGCTAATCATAGATCTCAATTTTTCATGGATTTGATTTGGATCATTACTTAGGTTCAATCTCTTTTTTCAACAATTTTTTATGTCATTGAAAATATCACACATCTATATGAATAAAGAAAAAAGATCTTAGAGTATATTATTTTGGTCCAATATTACCTTGGTAAGCCGCTATTGTTGAATGCAATGCGGTTCTTACGACCATTGGATCAAAAATCTTTGTACCAACTTGAAGTCCTTTTCTCTCTTATAGTTAGGTTAGAGTTACAGAAACAAAGATTCTACTCTACAAGTTTTCAAAATTTTGGATGCAAATAGTTTATGTCAATCAGTTACCAAGCAAGAGAAAGCATCTTGGTTTCCAACCATCATCATTAGACAGTCAAGAGATGATTGATCCACATTTGTGACCTTTCTAGATGCTCAAGGTTTTCAGGATGATGGATTAGGACTTATGTATTATCACACTACATATGTATGCGATAAATCAAGTCTTGAAGAAAGAAAAAGTATCATAGAATTTCATCCAAGTAACACGGGCCACACGTAGATTATCAGATTAGAGCGCAATTCACTCTCAGATAGAATTATGATTAGATCACTTGCAATTTTTTTCAAATTTACTTTGCATTCAACGTGGATGAAACTAGGATGCAGGCTCCAC